TTATCAGTTGAACTTTGCTTTATTGTGTGCAACAACAAATCCATGTAAACTGCAACAAGCAGGCATCTGTAGCACCGACACAGATCTGGGCTTGGTTTAAAAGGTCTTGTCTTCAGAAAGCTGACAGGAAGCGTACACACGGTCAGTCCAACATGGAGTTTTATGACAGCAGAGGTTTACTCTGACTCCATATGCAAGATATGACTGGTTCCCTTCCTTGTCTGACAGATTATTTGAATGAGCCTGTGGGTTTTTTTTTTAATCATTTGCATGTTTTATAACTAATGATTGTAACACACAGCCTGTACTAAAGGAGTTGTTTTGCAAATGGAGAAGCGTCATTAGGTAACACAGTTGACCAAGCAAGACATAAATATCTGGTCTTAGTCACAGAGGTTGCTTTTCTTCACTTTTGTGAAAAAAACAATAACACGTTTGTCAGTTTTGTGTTTAAGAGTCAAAGTCACAAATGAAAACTACAGTTCACAAACGCCCGGATAAATAAAGGTTGACCAGACTTAAATTGTGGGTTTGTGATGATTTTGCATCAAATCTGAAGTGATTTTAAGACGCTTAACTGGAAGCAAAGCAGATGCAGTGTGATTGCTTGGCCTGTTCTGAAATGAAAAACTGACACAAACCGCGTTTTTAGAAAGAGGTTTCTCAACGTAACTAACTGTATGCTTCTGTACATTACGCCAATGTTCGGCTGACAAAAATACCTTTTAAAATTATGATCAAAAAGTTGATCTTGCTCTTTTGGGAGACTTCAAATGTCTTTTTGCCACATTTAACTTGGTGTAGCTATATTTGTTTTTTAAAATAAAAGGCTTCCATCTTGCCAGCTTAGTCCACAGCCACAACATACAGAGAAGATTATCACCAGATGATCCATACGACCCCTCTGGTTTGGAAGGCGTCTCTGTGGCTGATGTTTTATTACATTAAGTAAATGTCAGGAAGAGTCTGCTGAAACAAACATTACTTTATGTGGGGTTAATCAAATGGCATAAGGCGTCTGTTGAGGCCTTCTTAACATTACACTGAGTGTGAAGGTTAATTCTGAATAAAACTGGATTCCCAGCTAAATGAGGGTGTGCACACTTTAGCAGCTACATTATGGTCAATGTATTTTTTCCCCCCTAAAATATTTGAGTTTTGACTTTAAGTAAGAAGTTGTAGCTGCTGATTTTGAAGTTATTCCTCTTTAAGAATGATTATAAACCAGAATAATAAAAAAAGATGTACCTGGGACGGTCCAAACTTGGCAACAAGGCTGCTTCAGTCGTTATTTTGATCCGTTTTCAAACTGACGTCTTTATATCTGAATTTGTTTCTCTGGCCATTTGTCCCTGAAGTACTAAAAGAGATTTATTTTACAGTTTGAAGAATCTACAAAAACATGCCTCCATAAGACTGTCTTCTGCCTCTTTCTCTTAAAGTCTTACCCTTCCCAAAAAAAACAAAAAAAAAAAATGAGACGGAGAAAATCTGGTTGTAGCTCTTGTAATCACTCCACCATCTCGGCTCGCTGGGTCACTGAGCCCTTTCAAGATAATTTGACGTTTGATCCAGCGGGCGTTTTGCCAGCTGAGGGGAACAGAGCTGTCCCGATGGAGGGACGGCACACTCGCTCATCGGTCGCTCATAGCGCGCGCGCAGTCACAGAGATTATGTCAAACGCACAAATAAAACAGAGATCCGTCAGGGATCCCTTCCATCAGCCCGTTCAGTCATGAAAACCGTCGGAGCAGAAACGAGTAGACAAACAACCCAGCTGTCTCTGCACATTCCCTACGTGAGGCCCACGGTGCAGACAAACGTATAAAACAAGGCGGACTGTAGTCCTTAACACTTCAAAATGTAGTTTTGAATGGTCAGAAAAAGGTGAATTTCTTTTTTCCCTGCTGTGCGGTTGTCTCATGCGGCAGAAACATCAATAAAAATCATCACAAAGTGGCTCACAGCTGCTATTTTACACCTCTGGGACCAGACAGTGGTGCACTGCAGAAACATGTGCTCCTGTATTCATTGCTGCTTTACTAAAGTGAGAGGGAATAATGCTCCAGCTTGCTCAAAATGTCCTGCAAATGCATGTTGTGCTAAATCTAAACACGGGAAAGCTGAACACCATACGAATGCAAAAAAAGAGAAAAGCTTCATGTTTTGTAAAACCTGCTCCACTTCCATAATCCTTTCTTTAGACTTATGCTGTATTTGTTAGCTGGTCTTTGCTTCCTTCTGCATTTGCGCGCTTTTAGATCTGTCTTGGATTTCCCTTGTTGTGTACGTTTGGATCCCTTAAGCCTGTGGATAAATTACCCTGAACTGAATGAGTCATCCCAAAACGTTACGAGTCCAAGCTGCGGGGAGTTGTAATCTGTTCTTTTTCAGTGTGAAGGCAGAAAGAGGAAAAGAAAAAAAATCAGAAAGAAGGGGAGTCTCGGTCAGAAACAAACATAAACTGGAGCAGAATCCGTTAAGACATTTGTAGCAATGCTTTTTCTTTTCTTTTTTTGCACCTGGGAACGCCTATTGAATAGTTTTGAGGTTTTTCTCAGGCTCAGACACTAAAGTTCCTGCAAGTTACGACACCGATCTAGTCAGAGTTCATTTGTTATTGTTTTTTTTTTTTTCTCACAGCGTCTAAGGGTGGTGTTCACACTTAGCTGTTCAATTCTGAAACTGGGCAAGTCTCTGGTGGGCCTTATTGTGGCACGGCTTCTCCCAGAAGTGGGCTCGGCTTTGCAGGCAGGTTTTGGAAAGTTTCTGCTGCACATTGAAAGCAGATGCTGACCAACAAAAGTGGGCTAAATGCTCCTGGATGCAATGTGATGCTAGTGCACACTCATTAGCTCTGTGGTTAAGCTAAAACGACAGTTCTCCAACCTTCTTCCTTTTTTCTTTGTCTCTTCCATTGGCCTAAACCACAAATGGAGTTTTTTTTTCTGCTGGAAATTCTCCCATTGTATTCAATTACCGCCTTACGGTTTCTGTACGTGGCTTTTCATTTGGTCCTTGTGAGACTTTTTAGCACGAGTCTGAATTTATAGATACATTTAGCACGCTAGCATATCCAGTTCAATCATAGATCAAGATGGCCTGCTGCCTTTTTCTGACACAATAAAAACTTCCACAGTAGAAGTGTTGCAACTTTGAAATGCTAAATTTAGTCCACAGATGTCAAACGTTTGCTGTTCAGCTGTCAACACAGTGCTGACTTTACTTTTTCCTTATTCTGAGGTGTGTAGATGTCTGCACTGATAAATGACACACCTCTGCATGACGAATGCTCGAAGTGACTTTGGCTTCTTTGCTTTCTTATGAATTCAGGAAATGGTTTTTTGTTCCAGTTGGGAAACTCATTGCATTGAACTTCCATACCCAAATTGTCCCTTGATTTTTTTTTTTTTTTTTTTTTTTTTTATTTGGAAAAATAAATAAATAAAAGGTGAATATGTTCTGACAGCAGAAGTGGCTTGCTCTCTCCAGTTGTTGCTGAACATTTTATTTTTGCACCATTCCTCGTATTATGACAGTGGCACATCAAAAATGACGTGCAAAGCTGACTAATGCGACAGAACAAAGCCCCCTTTCTTTTTATGTCCATGTAAGATGTTTTTCAATGCTTGGTCATATATGGCAAGAAAGGAACAAGTCTGACAGCAGCCTAACCTTTTACTGCAGCTAGCTACTACAAAGGAGGATGTATGTGCTGCTGACCCCTGGGAGTTTGTAGAGGTGTAGATTTAGCACTTCAAGCTTGTTTGGAATGTTAAAAGGAAAATCTTGTCAGGAAAAAAAAACTCCCAAGCCACCGAATTTACAGGAGAAACTTTTTTTTTTTTTAATTCCTATGTCAAGCTGTTTTGTTTTTAGCTTTTTACTAGAAAAAATTCTCACTTCTCATGTTTGTTGGGGCTTTTTTCTTTGTAGTTTTCTGTTAACTTACTTTCATTTGGATACATGTTGGTGTATAATGACCAGCAGGATGCTAATCTGACTTGGACAGTATTTTCTTTTTTTCTTTGTCTTTTTTTTTTTTGGTGAGTTGCATTCTGTAGCTCCTTATCGAGTCTGTGCTGATTTACACTACGCTGAGACAGTCTTGCAGGCTTCAGCTCTGATTTGCACCCATATGCTAATCTGCCCAGCCACTGAAGAAAACGTTGAAATGAATTGGTGAAATTCCAGACATCGCTTTTATGCTTCTATGCTTCTGCAATAAATCTGAAATAAATCATTTAACCTCGACCATTACTCTTTTTGAGGATGATTTAATTTTTCCATGTCACAACAACAAATACAGTAGAGTAGAATGGTTTGGATCTGCTTCATACTGCCCCCTGCTGGACACCAATCATTGAATCAGATCTAATTTCCTAGACGTGAACCTATTTGCATCTACCTGTAATGCTTTAATTAAAAATAGATTAAAACAAAACAAGTACCTGTGTGTTTTCTTGGAAAGCAGAATCAATCACCTAAACATGTCAGGCTCTAGGCAAACTATTTCGGAGAAATTAACTCCGCCCTCCTCTGTGGTTCTTTACATGCAGCAGAGAAACCTGTTTGATTTGGAAAATAATTGCCGTTACACACATTCTGTGAAAAGATCTAACAGAGTTACTTGTAAACATTATTCACCTCATTTGTCAAAAGGGTGAGCAATGTTGTTTTCTTTAACTTGAGTTAAACCAGAATACTTTTTTTCTGTTCTTGTATTATTAATGCTTTGTATCAAAAAAAGTAATTATTTTTTGTTCGTTTTTTTAAAACCTTTATTCGCACAAAAACGCGAAACATTTACGTTGTTGATTTGGCTTAGTAGACTGACTCTGTGTAGTGCTCACTCTTACGTAAGCTTTCTACAGATCCAGAAGAAGTATTGAGCAAAAACCTGCAACGTTCTGAAGCTGTGCAGATGTTCAGATGAGATTCTGGACAAACAGTCCAGACTCCTTTGTTAAAGAACGTGAAATCCTTCATTGTGTTTTCTAGCGCTCTCTGCTTCTTCTCTTGTAATGCAGTTCTGGCAGTTTGGAGAGTGGGTGGAAGTGGTGATTGATGACCGTCTCCCGGTGAAAGATGGGAAGTTGCTGTTTGTCCACTCCGCAGAGGGGACTGAATTCTGGAGCGCTCTGCTGGAAAAGGCCTACGCCAAGTAAGAACACGGCTGAAAAAATCACAATCATTGTTGCAAATCCCTTTTTGTTTTTTTATACACTTACTGGCCTTATCTGGTCCAGATTGTTAGTACTGGGTTGGGTCTCCTGTTACCTTCAAGATAAGCTTTCATGGCATTGATTCAACAAGGCGTTGGAAACGTTTCGCTGATATTTTGATGGGGAAATGTTTTCTGATTTGGATCTGGATATTTAAATGCATTTACTTTTCTTAATTGGATTTAATAGGTCGTTATTTGTATCGACAAGCAATTGAAAATGTCTACCAAATAAACTGGCTTTGTGCTTGTACAAACTTTTGAGAGCTATTGCTAAGCTATGAGGATTAGAAAAATTTCCTGTTTTTTGAGGTTGCAATCTACTTTTTTTTTTTAAAGAAGAAAATAATTTAAATATGTTGTGAATTTTTTTTTTATCTAAGCAATTTTATTGTTCATAAGTCTGTAAGGAGAAAAAAAGAGCAGTATTTGCAAACTGACAGCTCAGCTTTAAAGCGGCTCTAGTATGACACCTAGTGGTTGTCCAGCATAATAAACTGGTCATGATTTCAGAAGGGGTTCAATGGCCGAGAGCTGCAGCTGCGTCAGTTGACAGCTGTGGTCTCAGTTGTACGACTGACATACAGTATTGTTCATATAAACACATGGCTGCCACGTTTACACAGTTTCCCATATTAGTGCAACGTGAACATGAGACTGATGATACCATATATAAACAGGAAACACTGCAACTGTAGTTTACTTAAGCTTTGACATAAATAACGCAGCGTGATGTGTTTCCGCTGTTGCCGCCTCTCGTTTCCTTGGAGACCCAATTCATGCGCCAGAACTGCTTTGGTCCGCAGGCTGAACGGCTGCTATGAGGCTCTGTCAGGCGGCAGCACATCAGAGGGCTTTGAGGACTTCACCGGAGGCGTGACGGAGATGTTTGAGCTGAAGAGCGCCCCCTCAGACCTCTTCAACATCATCAGCCGAGCCGTGGAGAGAGGATCCCTGCTCGGCTGCTCCATCGACGTCAGTGCTAATGGTTTACTCAGATTCAAGACGATAATGTAGTTCTGTCACAGATTCTGAACGTTTTCTCAAACCGTCTTCTAACACGCTTGTGTCAAACTCAAGACATGGGGGGCCAAATCTGGCCCGCCGTAAGTTTTCATGAGGCTCTTCAGACTCTAGGGTGGCACAGTAGACTAGATATGAAAGTCGTAAATTCTGTAGTTTTTTATTTTTATTTTTTTTAAGAGGACACACATCGAGGGAAAGTTTAAAAAAATGAAATCCCCTAATTTTTTAAAACTTTATTTTGGCTAAATAAATTTGAATCAGAGCTTGATATGGTGTCTTGTGTGTTTATATGCATATAAACATAAAACAAGAGATACATTTTTCATTTTTCCTCAATGTAAGTTCTCTTTATAAAAATAAATAAAAAAACCTACAGTATTATGACCTTATAGTCTAAATATCTTCTTATAACCTATAATATAGTATTGTGTTTGGGGTGGGAAACAGGTTTTAGCTGAAGCCACTAGAGGGCAGAGACGCTTACACAACCAATGCTGCCAGGAATCCAGTGTGTCAAGGGTTTTGATCAGGACCTTTATTTGCAGACAGGGAGCACTGAACTCTGCAGCGAAGGACATTCTGCCTGGTAAATTTACCTTCCGATACTTTAGTTTCTGTATGACGAACCAGCGCTCTGACAAGGGGGAAAAAAACTAACAAAAAACGTTGGACCTTTCTCCATACATGATGAAAAGGTGAATCATTGATGATCAGAATGTTCCTTTGCTCTGTTGCAATGCTGCAGTCGCATTACAGCAGATGTTTGCAGGTGTGAATAGTTCAGAAACCAGAGCTCCAGAAACGTTACTGATTTTTTTAGCTGCCACAGTAATAAATCTGAGCTCGTGTCCGCGTCTCACAAGACGTCACATGCACTGCTGGGTTGTAGCTCGACCAAGCATGATGAGATTTCCCCGCTCCAGATAAATATCTCGGTGACCCCTATTCACAATGCATGTGTTGCATTGTCTCTTTCACAGATCACCAGTTCGTCAGACATGGAGGCCGTCACATTCAAGAAGCTGGTGAAGGGCCACGCCTACTCCGTGACCGCTGTGCACGAGGTGAGCCGTCATGCTGGAGGACGTGGGGGTCGGGATCGGGCCTGTCACCTTAACAAATGTCGCTGGACGATAAATCGTCCCAGAAGTTATTGCGATAAACGATAATATTGTTGTTTTGAGACCATTTTCAAGTAATATAATAGTAGAAATGCAAGAAAATGTTCCCAAAGGTCAACAGTTTTTAAATTCTAATGAGCATTTAGCGCTGGAAGACATTTTAAATATCCCAAATAAATCAATAGAAATAAATAAAATGAAGTGTGAAGTTTGTAAATAAAATTATTCTTCAAAAAAAGTGGTTTTTAAGACCAGAGCACCTGACTGAAAACTTTTTATCAGCCAGTTTTTGATCAAAAAGAGAGAAAAGGGAAACAAAAAATTATGCAAATGGAAATTATTGAGCTTGTTTTAATTTATGATGTGATTTATTATTTATTGCAACAAGGCTAGTCGGGATCAAAAAACAAATGCGAATTTGGAATTGACTGTTTATTGTCTCAGCACTCACATGGATGAGCGTATAAACTGGAGTCCGCTCTGAAACTCCAGCAGAGTCCTGAGCCGCATGCCGTAAAGTCTGGCTTATTGGGACTTTAATTGACCTCATAAACTAATTAATGGCGTATAGTCATTGATTAGAAACAAAGTGCACACGCTGTGCAACAGATGCTTGTTCTGCAGCAGCATCAGTGATTGATTCGTTTGGTACGCACAGAGCAGCAGACTTCGGGTTGTGAGGCAAACGGGTCGCTTCCTGTTTATGAAGGTTTTGCGGCTGGAATGCAGCTGTTCGTTTTTAGGTGTCTGTGCTCTACATGTGGCGACGCTAAGAATAAACACAAGCGGTTTCTTTGCCTGAAGGTGATGTACAGAGGAAACCTGACCAAGCTGGTCCGCATCAGGAACCCCTGGGGGGAGGTGGAGTGGACCGGGGCCTGGAGCGACAAGTAAGGTCTTCCACACACGGATTTGGTTTCACTGTTTTGTGCTTTTGTGATGTAAAGTTCTTTTTTTCCCTCAACTGAGATTTACAAATTTTGGGTTGGGGGGGGGGGGGGTAGATGAGAAATTACTGTCAATATGGAAGAAATCGCTCCTTTTCTAGTTGGGTAAATTGATGTTTATTTTTATTTTTATTTGGAGGCTGAACCAATTCAAATATTTGCAGGAGTGTATAGTGGGATAAATTTGCGCCATAATTTTGTTATCTATTGCTTGTAGATATCGAAAAGGTTGGCTGAGTAGTACAGGAGTTAGAAATAATATTGGTAATCATCAATATTAATCGATATCAATAATTATCCAGTTTCCCATCGTTGTGTTGTGCTGATTTTCTCCCTTCATTCCACACCATTCCCACTTGGGCATTCCCGCTTTGGGGAATGCCTAAGTATGAAGTGACTTCTGGGAACTAAATTTAAAACTGCATTTAAAAATATCTGAGATGGACCTTAAGTAGAAGTCTATCCTGTGCCATTTATTTGTTTATTTTCCGTTCTTTATAAATTCTTCAGCTCCAGAGAATGGGACTCCGTGGATGGCTCCACCAGAAGTCAGCTTCAGAAACGCAGTGAAGACGGGGAGTTCTGGTGAGTCTAACAGAATAGAGACCCAGCCTAGTAAATTATTTCAACGTTTACACCCGTACCCCCACCTTTAGACAAGGTCATTTGAGCCAGACTTATTTCCGTCTTCCAGGATGTCCTACAGTGACTTCCTGCGGGAGTTCACCCGTCTGGAGATCTGCAACCTGACGGCGGACGCCCTGCAGCACTGCCAGATGAAGAAGTGGAACACGTCGCTCTTTGGCGGCGAGTGGAGGAGAGGCAGCACCGCTGGAGGTTGCAGGAACTACCCAGGTACTGACCGACGACGAGGAGACGGCAGGAAGAGATGGAACCGGGGCCAGAGATTGTAACTTGATTTTGTTGCCACATTTCAGGAAACAAAACGTTCATCCAAAAAAAATCCCAAGTCCCATGTCAAGAGTCTCATGGTGTTAAACTTGCTAAATGGAAAACGCTAAATGCTTCTTTTATTTGTATAAACTTTGTTATTTTGTTGAAAAGAAGCTGTTGTAGAGGGATGTGGGGAAGATTTGGACTCTTGTCTGGAAGGAATGTGGACAAGTGACTCTTATTTAAGCAATAATCAATGACACAGTGCTCTTCTTCCTAAATATTTTTGGGAATTCCATTCGTACGTTTTTTGTTTTTTTTTGTTCTTACTATATTTTTCTCCTGATTTTAGAAATAAACATCTGAATTCTCATTTAGTATTTCATGCATAAATAAATCCTCGTTCAGTATCGACCTGTAGTTCTCGTGGAAGGTGATCAGGCTGACCTTTTGCCCTCTCGCCTACAGCGACATTTTGGCTGAATCCTCAGTTTAAGATCATCCTGCAGCACCCCGACGCCCCCGGCCAATCGGACTGCAGCTTTTTGGTGGCTCTCATGCAAAAGGACCGCAGGAAGAAAAGACGAGAGGGCAAAGACATGGAGACCATCGGGTTTGCTCTGTATGAGGTCAGCAGCGCTCTGTGCAGATATCGGTTTCATTTTATTTTCCTTCTTTTTAAATAATCTCTTATTTTGTCTTGTGTCTCTTTTTACAGGTTCCAAGAGAGGTACTAGTCTACATATTTATTTTCCTCCAATAACTCTTAGTTGTGAGGGCAGGTTTCAGCCTAGAAGCGAAGCATCAGGATGAAACTTCTCCGCAGTCTCTGCGTGCATTTTTCAAACGACGGCCCTAAGAAAACGCGTTGCCGCTTCTGTCCGTCTCCCTTAGTTCGTGGGGAGCTCGGGGGTCCACCTGAAGCGAGACTTCTTCCTCACGCACGCCTCCAGCGCTCGCTCGGAGCAGTTCATCAACCTGAGGGAGGTCAGCTCACGCCTGAAGCTGCCCGTCGGGGAGTACGTCATCGTCCCCTCCACCTTTGAGCCCAACAAAGACGGCGACTTTGTCCTGAGAGTCTTCTCCGAAAAACCTGCCGGCTCCGAGTGAGTGACGCTAAAGGTTCTGACGAAATGCTGCTAACGTTGTGACAGCTGTTATGTTTCTATTTTCATGGTTGAGATCATGCAGAACGAAATGTTAGTCAAGGGTTGCCGTCTACTGAATAATGTCTTGTCAAAAGGACATAACCTATTTTCTCTTCTGGCTGTCAGGGAGCTTGATGACAAAGTCGTTGCAAATCTTCCACCAGAGGTGAGAGGAGGCGATTGGTGCACTTAATCTACAAACTAAATTTCTATGAGGAAAGTGTCATTAAGGCGTTTGTTGTGTTTCAGACTAAACTTGATGAGAGCCAGATTGACGCAGGCTTCAAGAGTCTCTTCAGGCAGCTGGCAGGCAATGTAGGCACCCCATAAAACTCACAGTGACTGTGTTGAACTGGCAAAGGTGTAATTAATTCAGTTGAACTTTGTTTGGCCCAACAGGACATGGAGATCAGCCTGACTGAGCTTCAGACTATACTGAACAGGATCATGAGCAAACGTTAGTCATTTGAGAAAACTATTCAACTATTTTGTTTTATTGAAGTCTGTGTTGTCATTTCTCTAATACCAGTATATGATTTGTTCACCAATAAATACTAATTTCCCTGCTTTTCTTCTACTGCCAGATAAGGACCTGAAGACGGACGGCTTCTCTAAAGAAGCTTGTCGCAGTATGATAAACCTCATGGACGTATCCTTGAAAATGAGATGAAATTGTGACTGAGCTGCCTGGATCTGTAATTTACATTCCATGTTTTTGAAATCCCAAATGTTCCTGAACTTTGCAACCCAGGTGGACGGGAGCGGGAAGCTGGGCCTGACGGAGTTCCACGTTCTCTGGGAAAAGATCAAACGATACCTGGTGAGATTCAGCACTAAAGCCTCAGTCAGCGAGCTGCAAACGACCTGAATTTAAATCCCTAATCCAGACTTGGTGATTAGGAATGCCATAGCTGACCATTGCTGTGGATCCGATTCCATGCTAAAGTATTTACCTGTCGCGTAGCAACCACAAACTAGAATTTATTTATTATTATTTTAATCTGACGGATCATCAGAAAAATGACATGTACATATGAAGCAGGATGGAAAAAAAAAAGATAGAAAGTGTGGCTAAACCAATCAGATTTCACCAATCTGATTAGTGTGGCTAAACCAATCAGTTTTCACCAATCTGATTAGTGTGGCTAAACCAATCAGATTTCACCAATCTGATTTGTGTGGCTAAACCAATCAGATTTGGGGTATAAGATTTGGAGTCTTATACCCCATTTTTTATATGGTCTGTCATATAAAATCCCAATGAAATACCATGAAACTTAAGGTAACATGATAAAATATGATAAACGTCAACAGATATTAATACTTTATACCCTGTGCTTGAGATTTGGGGTTTGCTGAAGTACTAATGACCAATTTATAACACAAACATTCCCATTTTTCTTTTCAAAGTATTGTGTATCTTGACAACCCATTTTAATAAAACTGAATGGTTTTATGTCTAACTTGTCTTTTCTTCCTCTGTCTCTCTGTTACTTCTACCTCATCAGACTATATTCAGAGAGTTTGATTTGGACAAATCGGGAACCATGAGCTCCTATGAGATGCGGATGGCCCTTGAATCTGCAGGTGCCCTTCTGTTTAACATGAATAAAGAAGAAAAACAATCAATTGAGACACATTTTAACCCTTGATTGTGCTGTTTCATCCTCGCCGCTGCAGGCTTCAAGCTGAACAACCATCTGTTCCAGCTGATCATCCTGCGGTACACGGAGGAAGACATGGCCATCGACTTCGACAACTTTGTCACCTGTTTGGTCCGGCTGGAGACGATGTTCAGTAAGATACTTTGATTTTACCCCCTTTTGTGACCTAAAGAAAAACCCGATATTGCTTGTATCCCGACTCTCTTTTGAAAGAAAATTACCCAGAAGGAAAATCTGCACTGGTTTTGGTCTGTTTTTAACAGAAAATGTAAGATGCAAATGGGTTTCCTACGCTTTTGTCTCAACAGAAACATTTACAAACATGGACACGGATGGAGACGGTCAAATATCCCTTAACTTCTTTCAGGTAGAGCCTGAACTCTGAATGGTATTTTAATTCATCCTGCAAACAAACTGTATTCATTTCCTGCTCTCCTCGTTCCACAGTGGATCACTCTGACCATGTTTGCCTAGAGATGAGTGGAGTCCATGAACCACATCCCACTGCAACTCCAGGCCCATTATTCCCAGATTTTTTTTAATTTTTAACCTTTTTACCAGTGCCTTCACTGCTCTCTTCTCCTCCAGGATGCTCTCTGCTGAGGCCTTGTGATGCTAAAACAGACAGACTCTGTGACTCCAGTGCCTGTATCGGAAATGTGCCAATTCTTTATTCGTTGCATGTTTTGCCAATTGAACAGAGCTCACTCTGGGTGCTAATGTTTTTGTTTTGTTCTTGTTTTACCCTCAAGTAATGCTGATAAACTATATAGACATAAAAAAATTAATGGTTGGGTCTAAGTGGGTGGACACAGGGTTGTGCTTTTGTTGCATTTTTTTTTTATATCCACAAAATCTTTACTTTTTTACCACACATCCAAGTGTTTTCTTTCACCAAGAAGAGGATTCTGCAGTCATTTGCTTTAGTTTCATTTTATCCTTCAGACTTCGAGTTTGAAACGACCACCTGTGCACTCGTGGTCATTTGGCAACTCATAGAGTTTTATCTCTTTTCCTCACCTTCTCTGATTCACAAGTATTAACGCTTCTGCTATGATTTCTTTAAATTCAAAAATGCAAACATTGCTCTAAAACCTCAAATTTTAAATGTTAGGGAATTATTAGTTGATATTTTTCTCTCATACTAATCCATTAAAATCTTTTCTTTTTTTTTACGTGGGCCACCTGAAGCTTTGCAACACCTCAGTCCATTGATGCAAGCAACAGAAAATGAGAGCAAGCATCTGAAAATCATGCCTAGCATTTAACGTAAACAAATATATGCAATATTACATAATGGATGTTTGCAGCAGTGCTGCTGGCCTGGCATGTTAATGTTCTTGTGCCATACTTCTTCTACTCTCTTATCAGCTTTCCTGCAGCATTACTGAGGTCTGGTGGTTTATGCACTGTATCATAGAGAATGTCCTGTTTAGCTTTTATTATGCTCATTGTTATTATGCATGGCGTTTCGGACTGTTCTGAAATATCCTGGGTGCAGGACGACCTTTAACCTTTTTTGTAACGGCTGGATTTTATACTCTGGCAAAGGGATTATGTCAACATGTGTCATCATGAAGTGTAAGGTGAACGTGAACATTTTTGCAAAGCGGATGGAAAATGTGTGCATGAAGTGTCAAATGTAAAAATGTTCTGCTTTTAAGAATGGGGTTTTGTTTTTTTGTTTTTTTATTACTACTATGATGGGAGCAAGATTTTGAGATCATGTATAATGTTGCAACATTAAGCCTTTAAGTGTTTCATATACGGGGGGTAAAGAGGTAAAAGACATGTTTGCCATTTAAAAAAAATTAAATACATTTTGTAAATGGGAGAACGGCAATGAGTGACCTGCGTCTTTAAATCGTTCAAACCAACCCCTTTGACTTGCATCATTGCTGACGCTCTTGACCTTTGCAGCATAATGCTTATGCAATGTTGTGTAAAGTTTACGCGGGGTGATTTTTCTCGGGGTCGCTTTGTACCCATCCATCATGCAATATTGTGGTTTACGTCGGTGCTTTCTGTCAAATCTCTGCACACACTTTGAAAATAAAAAAAATATGAGCCTTTGAATTCACCGTCACCAAAGTGTTTTGTTTTCTGAAAGTTTGAACCTGAGATCACAATTATGAAAAAAACAAGTCAAATAGAAGTGATTTTAAAGTTTATTCTCTGAACTACAGTGAGCCAACGTAGGGTCAGTAGGTCAGGGGTGATATGCCCTGTCGTCCTAGTTTTAGTAGAATATGAGCTGCAGTAGCGTTCTGGTCAGCAGCTGATTTTTATTTATTTATTTTTAAGTCAATTTGACTGAAGATGAACATGTGGATTGGCTTCTCTAGATCTCGTTGAGGGTATTAATCCTTTAATCCTGGAAATGTAATTCAGATGATAGAAGACTGACTTTGTAATCGTCTTTGTGTCTCTGAAGGTTCAGGTCTGACTCCATTACTACACCCAGATTTTGGACCTGATCTCTGGTTTCTAGCTGTAATAACTGAAACTGTATGTTGACTCCATCTCATTCCTCTTTTGATCCAAAACTAATTACTTCAGTTTTGTTTGTTCAGCTGGAAAAAACATCCCCACATGGGTTTTTATTTTCATTTTCCAAGCTAGGGACATTGCAATATAAAGCTGTGCATCACTGGATGACTCCCAAACAGCTGGATGTTGTCTTGGTCTTTAACTTATGGAAGCTGACATTCCACTTTTTGCAGGATTTCTCTAAGAATGAGCTTTTAACCTCAGTCACCGTCCTGTTGACCATATGGAGGTAGCAAGATGAACGGTCTGCATACATCCTTGTTTGTCACAGCTCAAGTTTTAAACTTTTTAAGTATAGCTCTTCTTGTATACATTGGCGACATAAAAACTTGCTTTGTTTGCCTCACTTGAAGGCCAAGTTTTACATTTTGAAGAATAGATGAGACAAAAAAAAAAAAATCATGGACTACTAATTAAAAGTTGAAAAAGCATAAATTACAAACATTCTTCAGTTAACATTTATTTCAAACTATAAAACAGGTAATTTTGTAAAAAGTTTTTTTTTATTTTTTTTTTAGGGTTTTTGTTTTCCTTCTACTTCACAGATCTTTACCAGATGTGACGGATGTAGCCACCATCCACACCGCAACGAACCACATTAAACAAGCTGAAAATTTTAATAAATAGCACTTTTAGTAGTAACAGTCATTAAAAGAAAACACAAGCGGTAAAATACCTAGTACAATATACACGTTTCAACCCCAAAAAATATTAAGATCGGTACAGAAAATGTGTCATCGTTAAGTTAAATTGTAGTTATTTTACAAGATGATCACATAAGTTAGAACAAATATGCCTTTTAAAAAAAAATACAAAACAAAACTGAGAAGTGACTTATTGTCGAGCCACCTTTTAGGGGAATGTATGTCCTATAGGCTCAGAGAGACATGTTTATGTTTTTGTCATATTTACACAAAATCCCAGACAAAAAAAAAAAAAAAAAAAAAAAAGGGGCTTGGGGGGGGAGGATATTCTCCTTGAAGTGACA